ATGGGGTTTCCCTTATATAGGTTTGTGTGCAAGTAAATGGTCTTCAAAGCCTAAAATCCCAAAGTTCCTCTCTCCGGCACACTCCTCCCCGGCTGGAAATGCCCCCATTGGACTTCTTTGTTTACTTTCAAAACATAATGACATCAGTTTGTAATGTTCAGGCTTCTGCTGTCTAGCTCTCCCACACATTTTACATGAAAAACTAAAGGGCGGGACATCTCTAAGCGGTTGACCAATCACAACAGAGCCGGCCAGCTAACCAATCAAAGCAGACTGGGCTCTGGTTTCAGACAGAGGGTGAAAAGAGGTGCTGCAGCACAGGCAGCATGAGAACAATAAAGAGCTTTTTGAACATTAGAGCATGGAGACATGTCCCAGTAGAGACACTACATACTGATATGAACCTGAACATGAGCAAAATAGGGCCCTTTAATATTCAAAGGAAATCTCTTGACTTGAAACTATTCCTCTAAGACTTTTCCATCACAGTATCTTTATAGTTTTCCATTTGTTTCAGCTCGTAAACATTGTTCTCATTCAAGATGTCCATCAATTCAAAACACGCATTGTCAGTAAAAGAGTAGCACATTACAGTTTCCTTTACTAGTTACTTATTCTTTATTTTACAAGAGGAGAATGTGAATATCTATCATTCCTCAGATCCAGTCCCTGGTATCTTAGAACAGTTTCATCCTCAATTAAAGCCCCATCAGTGTGATTAATGAGGCATGTAGGAAGGTCAGTGGTAATTGGACAAAGTTTGAGTTTGACCTTTATTTTGACAGAAGCCCCCAGAAGAGTCGGCCTGAATGCATTGTTCCTACATTTCTGGGATATTTACACCCATCTTCTAGAGGATGGGTGGGGTGAAATAAAGTAATTGTGACGGTAGTTTGCATTATGAACATGATGGTACTACAATGCACATAAACAAATTAACAAGGTCAAAAAAGTGGAATGAAACTGCCTGTTTTTCTTATTGTTTTTTGCATGCACTCTGCACCTTTATCCACTTGCAGTAATAATTCAGAGCAAGGTGAGGACACTGATAATGTGATGCTTGATGAGAAAAGAGCAGAACACTTTTGACACTTTTGACCAATTCCTGGCCTCCTGTGTTTTGAGTTCATTTCATTGAAGATTTGTTTGAGGATATGTACCATAAAAGCACAACATCTGCTGACAATGATAAGGGTTGTGAGGTGCATTCCAACTTAATGAATTACCTTTGGCAGGTGTGACTCAGAAAATACTCGCCAACCAATCAGAAGAGAGTGGATTCATTGGATGCTCTTCACTTCTGAATGTTAAAGTCTACTTGGGCAAGATAGCCTATGACCCCTACATTGCTAAATTACTTGTCATGACATAAAACATTTCAAAGTATAGTATGCCATCAAAAGATGTGGTATAAGATGTCATAGTAGAGAATGCAATAAAATATGTCTTACAAAAAACTATAGCATAATGGATAGATAGAAATAGACTCTCGTAAAAATGTAATTAAAAAGTCATACTATAGCATATCTACAACATGTCCTTATAGAATAGAATAGTATAGAATGCCATAATAAGTCATACAAAAGTCAAGCATAACATAAAAAAAAAGCATCTTATCATAATAGGCCATTGCATCACCAAATAGTATGTCATTTAAAAGTATGTTTGGCCATAATAAAAGTGTCATAGTATGATTAAAGTTATTGTACAGTAATGAATGTTATTAATAAAGTCATGCAATTTGTTCAAGTAGAGCATTTATTAGTTGGGTGATTCAAGTTTTATAGCAAGGCAAAAATGTCATTACAAAAGTTAAAGTTCAGTATACAATAAAAATGTCATAGTCCAGTATAAAAAGTCATAACATGTTTTATAGTGTATTACAATGTCATTAATACTAGTAAAAGTATAGTCTTCCATAATATGTCATTGTAAAGTGTGTTATTAAGAAGTCCTGTTATTATCATCTGCCATAAAATGTCCTGGTGTTGTAGGCCATAAAAAGTGCAATGGTATAAAATCATAAAATAAGTCAGTTAAATATGTCGTAAAGAATGTCACTGAAAAGTCATAGGAGAGTATTTTATGAGAAAACAACAACAACAAGCCCTGGCCTGTATAAGGAACATAAGACTGGCCTTCCTTATTTTATGGTTAGTTATTTGTTTTGCCAGTGCAGAATGTGTGTGTCACAAACTTGGAAACACAAGGTACAAGACTCAAATGCACAACCCGGGAGACAAAGGTAAAGTATGCAAAAGGTACTTTATTCCAAAAATAGGATGTTCAAATAAGGATCGACACTCTTGACCAGGTGAAAAAGGGCACAAAAAGGGCACAAAAGAAAATCGCTCACAAAGTGAGGAACAAAACTTACAAAATACTTCAGGAGCATAAATTAGGCTTGAGACAAAATAACTAGTCGCTGGTACGCTGACTACTGGCATGGAGACAGGACAAGATGAACTGACACAAGACAAGGGGAGACTGGGGAATATAAACAGGAGGTAACTAGGCACAGGTGGAAACAATCAGGGGCGGGAGCGGGAGACACACACAAGGGTAGGGAGTCAAGGAACCTGGAATGAAACATGACAGGTGAGTGTCTAAATAAAACAGGAAGTGGGAGACAAGACAACAAATGACTAAACACAAACATGAAACATGACTAGACTCAAAAAAAAATACGGGACACAACAATGTGCTCTGTGAAGATATCTTTGCACGTTCCTCTTTCTTTGAAACAGAATATAAAAATGTTGACATTTTACCGCAGGCATCTTTAGTTTGTTATACAGAGTCATGGTTATGGTTCTTTGTGCAGGACACCAGCTAGAAGAGTTACAGTAAAGCAACACAAACTAATGTGAGTAATAAACAGTGCAAACTACGCCTTTTATAGGTTTTATGTAATGTATTGACACAATTGTAATGTTTTTTTTTCCACCTTTTGCTTCATCTGGTGCAACATACACCAACTGAAATGTAAAGTGCCTTGTTAATCATCCTGTAATTGACTTTCAGATTAAAAAAAGGTCTTTATTAAAAGATCCCAAAACAGAGTTAAGAGAGGAACTTTGAAAAAGAGAAGTTCATATTTTCACATCATGCAAAATGTTATGTGGTTTATACAGTAAGAAGACTTGGTGGTGTGTGTGTTAGAGCAAAACAGGACACACATTGCTAACTAGGATCAGTGGTTCCTGTTGCTCTTCAAGTTAGCTATAGTCATTGAAACGTTCGTACAAATTTACAAAACATCATTGCTTTCCCATATTTCTAAATAGACTAATAGGAGCAGGTGCATACAACAGACAGAAATCAAATATATAAAAAAAAAAAAATACATGTTTGTCACAGTATTGTCTGAGAGGAGTCAATAAATAATGTCCTTTGAGACAAGATGGCAGCCGATAGCCATTGAGCTTCAAAATTCATGAACTGCAAGAAAAGCTGATGAGTCATTTCAACCGATCATTAACCAATCACAACTGTGCATTGAAGGTGGAGTTAGAGCACTTCTGGGTGCAGACACAAGACGTGATTTAGGATGTTCACACCAAAAGAGGGTAATGTGAAAATAAAGTCCATGGCTCAGTTGCCATAAATCGTAATCCCAAAGAGTGCATTATGTGGATTACGACTCCTGATCATTTTTCAAGGACCATGGTGTGCTCTTTTTTACCTGAGCGTACACACTCTCTAGCTGAGCTGTGTTTCTAGTCTCAGTGGGTGCTGGAGGTCAAGTTTTAGGACCAACCAAAGCATAGGTGCAGAACAGAGGCGGAGCTGAAGCTTCATCAGCAGTTGGGTGCTTACGCCGGGCTGGAGCTACGAACTGGAACGTCACAAAACATTGATTTACCAAAGGTTGTTTGTATAATATTGTATTTGTATATGTCATATATTCCTCAAATACAATACAATTCCATATTATTGACTGTAAAAGTGATAATGGTGTTTAACAAAAATGTAAGATTCATTTGTATTTTCAGTTAAAAGGCATGACATTTTAGGTGTTATTAATCAAAAGCAGAGTAAGGCCAAATAAGCACACACACAAAAGCATTTGCACTACTAACACATACAGTACTTTGCATTCAGAGAAAGAAATGGGAAATTACAGGTCTCCTCTTTTCTTAATTTGTTCTGAGACCAAACATTTAGATTTCTGGTTCTCATAAAACAGTTATCTGTACGTTACTGTGTTTAACTTTTCACACAACTATATCACACGGTTTGAAAACAAATGTATCTCAAGTGCAGCTTTCCCGTGAGAGGCTTCTGCTCTCAGCATGTGTTGTGTAAAAAAATGCAAATGTACAAACCACTCGGCTCAGTAGGAAGTGGCATAGCTTTGGTTAACGGCTGTGTGACAAAGATATGAAGCAAAGCTGTGATCATGTGATATGCATGAAAGAAATGTCACTGTGTCTGCATTATGTTTACGACACCAGCATGCCATTAAGAGTTTTAAGAACATGACACCTTTTGAGTTTTAGAAAAAGGAGCATTGTTCCAGTGCATCAACTTATGGGAAAACTATATTTAAAAAAAGAAAGAAGAAAAAAACCCACACAAGCAAACAACAAATACACATCACTAAGAAACACAGTGCAGTTTAAACACAATTATTGCCAGACAGAAACCTCAGCAGCAGGTTTCGAGAGAAGCATCGCGGTGCATCAGGTTAGTCGGATCCAGAGCTTTAAAAGAGCAAGCAGCACAACCAGAAATGTGAGCAGCAGGACCTGGAACTGCAGGCAGGTGGTGGTGTAGAAAGGAGTCATGGATAATATACAGTAAATAGCAAATACATATATGCAGATATACTGTGATTAGTGTGCATAGTAGGCAATATAACTGTCTGAGGCTCCAGTTATGGATTTAGCTTGTTCCTCATATTCAGTCCAAGTCTGTTTAAATTGTTCAAAATCTAAAATTCAGTTAAATTATTTTACTTTTCACTCAAAAGTAAAAAAAAAAAACTTGTCTCTTACCTGAGCAGTATCATAAATTGTATTCTCGATAATCACTCTTTTGCCTGCAGGTTAGTCAAAACAAAATATATGTGCATTTGCATTAATTTACATTTCATTTTGAGAGCTTCACCTTTAAAGCTTATTACCTTCATAACATTTACATTACATGAGCTGCATCTGACTTGAGTCCAGATATCGGTTGTGTCTAAATTATCTTTTTCAAACAGCTGAACACTTGAAGTCTCTATATGTAGAATATTATATAGAGTATGTTGCTGTTTGAGAGGTTTCAGACATGTTTTATGTGATTGCTCAATAGACAATGGGGATGTGTAGGTGGCATATGATGAACTTGAATAAAACACTTAATTCCCACAAACAGTAAAACAAAAATAAATGTTTTTGATAAAATGCACACTTAGACTTACTTGTTCTTCTCATTCGAAGACACCAAAGTACTACACCAATGATGGCGAGAATGAGAATTGTGAAGAATACTCCCAAAATGATGGGAACAGGGTCTGGTTTGGGAGGAACTGTAAATAAAAACATAAGCCACATTATAATGCTTGGTTAAATTCATAAACTTAGTCAAGTGTGCGACTGCATCACATCCTGCCAGACTGTTCGATTTAATTACACAAAAATATCTTAGTAGCAGACCTGATCTGTTGTAAGAAATAATTTCATTTGTTTGCTTTAACCCTAATATGTTAAACCAAACAGTCATTCAGTTCAATGTGAAACTACCAAAGGTCACTGAATGAGCAAACACCACCTGGCTCTTGTTCAATCAAAGCAACGCTGGTAGATAATAATAGCTTGTTTTGATAGTCAAATTACTGGAGCAGAAACTTCCCCAATTTCACCGACTAATTTCCAGTTTAGTTTCATAAACTACAAAATACTTAATTAAAACACTTCATTGTAGTTGAAAGTTAAGGCTCATCCTTTTATTTATTTATACAGGTTTAACTGAAACGTGCCATTAAGAAAAACAAGCTTTTAATTTGGTTTTATGCACTTTTCTAGTTTTCTTCGTCCTGTCTGAAAAACCCTGCTCACAGCAGCGGACACTAAAAGAGGTCATGTTGAGACGAGGACAAATATAGTTAGCAATATTTGCACTGTAGATACATGGATTTTACAATATTTATAACAAACAGTATTTGTCACACTGTGGAATAAAATGTATCTTATTTACAGACATATCAAAGTTTTTGATACAAAAAAAAACCCTTGTATGCTCTGATGGTCTGATTCTAAACTGTGTGTTATTATCAGGAAATAGTTTTCTCTTTCAGTCTTACCATATTTTGGGCAGACATCTTGGATATTGGTGATTATTATGGTGTCGCTGGTCCAGCTGACATGGTTACTATGGTTACAGATGATCGATCGACTTGATAGGTGGACCTGGAGAAAAGTATCAGGGATCCCCTCTGACCGCTCTCCTCCCTCCTGACTGCAGGTTCTGGTGTCACATGTGAAAGTGCTGTTGATGTGAGAGTCCTGTGAGCTGCAGGTCACACTGAAGCTACAGGAGGGAGAGCTTCTGGAGACAGAGCTCACTGTGAGGAGAGGGAGAGACGCTCGATCTGAGGAGGGAAGAAGCAGGTGAAGAGTTTTAGAAACAAGACCACAGAAACCCTATCAATGTTTGAGAGGTTAACAAACCTACCTTGAACTTTGATCTTATATTTAGCTGCTTCTGTTTCCTCTCCTGAAAGCTTTGTCACTACAGCAGTATAAACTCCACTGTCTGCCTCTTGGAGATTCTTCAATTTCACAGAGAAATTGTTCACAAGAAACTCAATCCTTCCAGTGTAATCAGGAAATACATTTGGAGTGTTGCCAGGATTAACTGTTAATACTTTTAGGTTTTCCTTAAATTTCCATGAAAAACTAAAAACATCCTGAAGAACATCATCTTTGGTGACATTCAGAAGCAAATCCTCTCCCTTCAGCACAAACACAGGAGTCCTAGCACTGATCCCTGTAAAACAGAAGACACATCATACAGTAAATATATTTCATTATAAAATACCTTCATTTTATGAATAATCAAAGGTTAGAAAATATCTTTAAATCTTGGATTAGCTTTAAATTATTTCCATTCTGTCTCGTATGAAAAACAGGGGACTTTCTCACACCTTGCTTATTTGTTCCCCTCTTTTCTCATACTATTGTTTCCCAGATTTGACAGAGGCGAAGCATTTACTCCTTTTCTACATTTGGTCATAATCTGTCTCAAACCACTTCCCGGGTTTTTCATCTACTCATGCCAGAAACAAAACATACAACAATAATAATAATATATATATATATATATATATATGATTTTCTTTCTTGTTTCTTCTAACTCATAATAATAATTATAACAAAGTACAAAAAAATAATAATAATGCAAAAGAAAACAAAAAAATAAATAACAATAATTCTCAATTAGTCTCTGTCATGTTCAACAGGGTCAAGAAGAAGTTTTAAAAACACTTTTCTGGTCCTACCCCCTCTAGCATACATTTCCGTTATAAATTAAATATTAGGTCATCGTCATCAGCGATATGTTTGTCTTGTTCATTTTTTGTTTTTACAAAACAATCAGGAAGAAATTACTTTTATATTTACAAGAAATAACAAATGGGATTTTACAGGTCCTGTTCATAACCATTAATGATTTGGCTCCTAAATAATACTTTCAGTTTAGATAGACTTGTACAATATTTCAGTGCATCAGTAGAGTTATTCCACAGACTAACACCTTTTGATGAGATGTAATGAAGTTTGGCATTTGTTCGTACGGGTGGATTTCTGCTTCACACACGTTGCATACCACTATTTTATTGTCATTTTCGGACACCTTAAAATACTGCCAGACTGGTGAAGCCATTTTGGCGAGCTTGTTTTGCCCCACACAGAGAAAAGTGTCATGTATTTTACGTCTCGCGATCGGCATTTTTAGAGAGCACCGATCGATCGGCAGAGAGTGAGTATCGGCCGATATCGATCGCCACGCAAAAACTGCGGTATTTTTACAGCTCCTTATGGGTACTGCAATTTGTGAAGTGCTTTCCTCTGTGGTGAAACTATCACCACTGCATTACGGAGGAATTAGGGGGCTGCGTTGTGTGCATGGCTTCCTTCTGCAGGTAACGGGGAGACGCGCTCTGGCGGCGGTCTCGTTCAGGATCCGAAAATACAATTTAAATATTTTGCACACTTATTCCACTTATTCCTAGTGTGCCACTGGTTACGGTGCCGCGTGCCAATGGTGGCACGCGTGCCAGGGGTTGCCGACCCCTGATATAGAGTATGTTGCTGTTTGAGAGGTTTCAGACATGTTTTATGTGATTGCTCAATAGACAATGGGGATGTGTAGGTGGCATATGATGAACTTGAATAAAACACTTAATTCCCACAAACAGTAAAACTAAAATAAATGTTTTTGATAAAATGCACACTTACATTAGACTTACTTGTTCTTCACGTTCGAAGATACCAAAGTACATCAATGATGGCGAGAATGAGAATCATGCTCTCTATATCCAATGATCGCAACTCATGGTAGTCAAAATCAGCCACCAAGAGTACAATTCCACTTGCTCGTTAAAGCTGCCACTTTTGATCCTGAAACTGTCAGAAATGGATTCAGCGTCCTCAATAACTGCCAAACCACTCCAAGATTTTCCAAATTGGCCACGTTTTTTTAGCTATTGTTTTAATTAACGCAATGTATTCTAATTGTGCAAATTGCCAAACATATGCAAGTTTTAATCCAGCAGTTTCTATGTGCTGGGGACTACACATTTCTATCATAACACTTTGATGGACTCAACATTTTCGGGTTATCAAATATACAAATATCTAAACTGTTACTTGAAATGACTGAAAAAGTGCGTACCACCACACAAAACTGTTTAAAATAAAATGTTAATCTTCGTATCGATCAACATATTCATAAAAGTATAGATTTAATTACTATTTAATAATTATAATGACTGGAGATTTTAGTTCAAGTTTCTGCTGTATTTTACATTCACTTAAAATGAAGATATATTTCCTTTACATCACCAGGACCTTTGTGCCTGGATGTGGTTTCAACCGACATAACTGTATATATCAAAATATCTACATACAATTTTACATTAATTAGTATTACTACTTTATTAAATGATAATAAGCAAATAACTCATAATTGTATACATTTCTAAATACTACCTAATTGAAATATCTGTTTAAAAAAAGCATTACCTTTCTAATCTTATATTGTTTAAGTAGTGCTACAATACAACAACTTTGACTCTGAGAACAAAACAAGTTAATGTTCTTACCTTGTGATTCACATAAATAAAGCAAATAAATGACAAAGAGAACTGTAACAAACGACTTCATTTTGCAAATGTGCTGTATGCGGAAGTGTCACAGCGTTTTGTCAGTTTCCTCTCAGCAAAGGTTCATTGCTCATGTCTTTGAAACCAGCCTGTGTCCATATTCAACATGATTCGACTTAGCCTTTAAAACACAAAATCACCTTTATTAAATTACTTTTTTTAGAGAGGTTTATCTCTTTATCTTAAACACTATTTACATTCCAGGGCTCGATGTTAATTCAATACAATTTAACATTTACATTCAATTTCCAACCTAGTCATTATATTCATCCTCATTAATGGCACACATTCCCATCAGAATAAAATCATGTTCAGTCACATACAACATAACTTTCACATTCTCTGCACTCACCTCTGAAAAATTAAAAAGGGCAACGAAAAACTGTTCCCTATTAGTTTGATAAAGTTAGTAACTCATAAATCCCAGGGAAAGGCAAGCTTCCTCAATGCTGACAGTAACATTTGCAATCTACAATAACCTGTCTACATCATGTATGTGCAGCAGCTGTGTGTAACTGCCACTGTGTGTAAGGGGGCGTGGAAGAGGGATCTGTTTGGAGAGAGAGGAGGAGGAAGCTGAACATACATTGAAGCAGGATGAGTCTGAGGACCAATAAGGATGGAGCAGCAAACCAGGCCAGAGCCGGAGCATTTTACCCTCCTTGACTTCTTTTCTGTAAAGCATTTCTTTCCTTGGATATATGTTTGCCTTTTTGAATGACATTGGATTTTCATTTTACTGTATAACTCGCATTAAAGAGGCACTATTATGCTTTTGATGGTTTTCCCTTTTCATTTGTTATATAGGTGTGTGCATGTAAATGGTCTGCAAATAGTCCCTCCAGAGAGAGTTTCTATCACACACTCTTTTTTTATTTGCCCCTCTCTTCCCCATGCAGGCTTCAGACTTTGAACCCTTTCAGTGGTAACCAGGTTTCAAAGTTAGGCTTGTTGATTTGTGATGTCATTATCTTCAAACGTCATTTCATTTGCATGTCAGTTTGCCTAAAGTCACTGAGACAGAGAAACCAGTTAGCTTTGTAGGAAGGACGCATTTATATTTATATAAGTATTTTCTAACTGCTTTAAAACGCAAGATATTTCATTTGTAAGAGCTTTTAGTAGTAATAACAAATCATATATTCCAAAGCTAATGTTCCTAAGGTGCAAATGTACATCATGGACCATAAACCGATACAGAGCATTATGTACACTAAATATTCAATCTGAAATGGGTTACAGTTATTACAGTTGTGCTACATCTTCTTAACAGAAAGTGCTTTACATACTGTAACCATCAGTAACCTACTGTAAGTATCTGATATTCATATAACCTAAACAAATTACTTTCCATTATTTTTGGGACAACTCAATATCAATGCAATGCAAATAAATACAATAAGGCTTTTACTAAGTGTTAAATGTAACCTTAGAAGAAAATAAAATAAATATATATTGTTCATCAAAAATGTGTCCTGTGCTAAGAGATCATTTTATTAAAATCTGCTCCTTTTACAAAAAACAGAATATGCTTTTTTTCAATAAATAACATCTCGTAAAAAAAGGATTAAAAAGTCATACTATAGCATATCTACAACATGTCCTTAAAGAATAGAATAGTATAGAATGCCATAATAAGTCATACAAAAGTTAAGCATAACATAACAAAAAAACACATCTCATCATAATAGGCCATTGCATCACCAAATAGTATGTAATTTAAAAGTATGTTTGGCCATAAGAAAAGTGTCATAGTGTGATATGCTATAAAGAAAAATATGTAAGGAGTCACAGTAAAGTATATCACAAAGAAAGGTCACAAAAGGTCATAAGAGTCCTTGTACTGTACTGTATATGTTATAAAAAAAGTTATTGTAATTTGTTCAAGTAGAGTTAGTTTTTTTTGGTCATTCAAGTTTTATAGCATGGCAACAATGTCATTACAAAAGTAAAAGTTTGGTATCCAATAAAATGTCATAGTACAGTATGAAAAGTCAAGCCAAATATGACAAAAGTCCTACAATGTTTTATAGGACATTAGGACATTACAATCTAATTAAAACAAGTCAAAGTATAGTCTGCCATAATATGTAATTGTAAAGTGTGTCATTAAAGGTCCTGTTAATGTCATAACAAAAAGTCCTGTTATTATCATCTGCCATCAAATGTCCCGGTGTTGTGGGCCATAAAAAGTGCAATGGTATAAAATCATAAAATAAGTCACAGTTAAATATGTCGTAAAGAATGTCACTGAAAAGTCATAGTAGAGTATTTTATGAGAAAACAACAACAACAAGCCCTGGCCTGTATGAGGAACATGAGACTGGCCTTCCTTATTTTATGGTTAGTTATTTGTTTTGCCAGTGCAGAATATGTGCTGTGTGAAGATATCTCTGACATGTTACCGCAGGTATCTTTAGTTTGGTATGCAGTCATGGGAAAATGCAAAAGGTGTGAGACACAGAGCTCTGAGAAAGGAAGTGGTTATGATTGTTTGTGCAGCACACCAGCTAGAAGAGTTCAAGTAAAGCAACACATAAACTACTGTGAGTAATAAACAGTGCAAACTACACCTTTTATTGGTTTTATGTAATGTATTGACACAATTGTAATGTTTTCTTTTCCATCTTTTGCTTCATCTGGTGCAACATACACCAACTGAAATGTAAAGTTCCTTGTTAATCATCCTGTTATTGACTTTCACATTAAAATCTGCTTTCTTGACAAACGTTTGAATTAAAAAAAGGTCTTTATCAAAAGATCCCAAAACAGAGATAAGACAGGAACTTTGAAAAAGAGAAGTTCATATTGTCACATGATGCAAAAGTGATGTGGTTGTTACAGGAAGAAGACTTGGTGGTGTGTGTGTTAGAGCAAAACAGAACACACACTGTAACCTGTGACATTGTGTATTCAGGCAGGGCAACCGGACAGAGACCGTCATGTTCATCTCCGTGATTCTGGGGCTGCTGGTCTGCACTGAGGCACGAGGTAGGATAAAAACACGTCTAATTCAATGTTTTAACATTATCTAATTATAGTCATTGTGTCCTGCTTAAAACAGTAAACAGTTTGACACGTTAAGAGTTTAAAAACCTGGCATCACTGTGGTCCAAGAGGAGTTTCTTCAAGTACGCTGATGTGGAGTATAACAACTGTAACCTTCCTACTGCCATCAGGAATGTATCTTCCTATACAAAAACAAAACCTTTGTTTTAGTGGAAAAAATGCATAAAACTAAATCCTGGTTATCAATTCTGAGCATTAGAAGCCAAACATGTGTATACAAATATTGAAAAAGAAGTTTGGAGAAGAAAATATTGACAGACATCTTTATTAAAATAAAAAAAGGTATATTTAAACCAAGTATAAAGGTGTTGCATACTGACATCTAATGAGCTGTTTTAAAACATAACATTAACTTGAAATGTTTTCTTTCTCCTATTCTACAAACCATTGAGGAACAATTAGAGAGTTCTTGCACAAAGCTACTTTAGTATCTGGAGGACAGCAACAAAGTTGGTGAACAACAGTGTGGATGATGGTAGGGGGGGGGGGGGGGGGGAAGTATAGGAACAATGCATCATTAGGGTTAGTTTCACCAGAATTGTTACTGACATTTCTGTGTGAGGAGTAGCTGTTTTAATGGTAATGGAAAATTGTACGTCATTTGTTTTACATGTCTGTTCACTTTCAGCAAAAGTTACTTATCATACTAATTAGCAGGAGAGAAACAAAAGCTGAACATACATTCATTTTTGCCCTATTGTGGTCAGTGGGTTATTATGAATTATGTTCATAATAAGATGATGATGTTTAGATGATGTTCAGAATGTCAAAAATAAAGTGCAGCATTGGAGTAACATTCAGAATTGAAAAGCATATATTGTATGTGATATTTACTGTATGATGTGTCTACTGTTTTACAGGGATCAGTGCTGGGACTGTCTTTGTGCTGAAGGGAGAGGATGTGCTTCTGAATGTCACCAAAGCTGTTGTTCTTCAGGATGTTTCTAGTTTTTCATGGACATTTAATTAAAAAAAAAAAGTATTAACATTTAACCCTGGCAACAATCCAATAGTATTTCTTGATTATGCTGGAAGGATTGAGTTTTCTGTGAACAATTTCTCTGTGAAATTGAAGAATCTCCAAGAGGCAGACAGTGGAGTTTATACTGCTGTAGTGACAAAGGGTTCAGGAGACGAAACAGAAGCAGCTAAATACAAGATTAAAGTTCAAGGTAGGTTTGTTAACCTCTCAAACACTGATAGAGTTTCTGTGGTCTTGTTTCTAAAACTCTTCACCTGCTTCTTCCCTCCTCAGATCGAGCGTCTCTCCCTCTCCTCAGAGTGAGCTCTGTCTCTGATAGCTCTTCCTCCTGTAGCTTCACTGTGACCTGCAGCTCACAGGACTCTCACATCAACAGCACTTTCACATGTGAAACCAGAACCTGCAGTCAGGAGGGAGGAGAGCGGTCAGAGGGGATCCCTGATACTTTTCTCCAGGTCCACCAATCAAGTGGCTCGATCATCTGTACCCATAGCAACCATGTCAGCTGGACCAACGACACCAAAACAATCAAAGATGTCTGCCACCAGCATGATGGTAAGAAGAAAGAGAAAACTACTTCCTGATAATAACACACAGTTTGGAATTTAAAGTTTAACAAAACTTCTTTGTGAGGTGTTAAATGTAAACTTAAAACTATAACAATTTAATTTGAAGAAACTTTAAAATACAAGATGAATTCAGTACATCATGTTTTACGCATATAATGTGCTGTTTGTCTCATATATCGAACCTTTATATAAACCTTTGAACTTTAATATTTGTATAAGTACAAACATTCCTGAATATTTGAAGAACAGAATAAACATTAATTCAACATTAAACCCCCACCATGCTGTTTGACATTACATCATGCATATGGACAGTCTGTAAAACTCAACTGCGCTTTGCAGTGCAAGTATTTCACAATGTAGGACTCAAAGTACTTGCAAACTGTAAAGTACTCAAACTGCTATCCAAATAAAGTAGTAATCACTGATTTGCTGCTTCCACTCAGTTGTGCGTCTCAGTCTGGATCTCTGCGTCGGTTTTGATATGAAACTCTCTGTTTGTTGTGTTTCAGATCCAGAGGGGTTATCTGTGTGCCTGGTGAAGATGTGTGTGTTCTCTGTGGGTCTGATCATCATGGTGTCTGCTGTCATCACGGTTCATCTCATGGAGAAGCTCAACAAGAACAAATAAACTCATAGCTCTGGTTCCCAACTGGGGGTAGGAGGACCCCTAGGGGTAGTTGGGGGGATTGCAGGAGGTACGTAGAAAGATTAGGGGTTGCAAATTATTTCCAAACGAAACATTTTCAAATCAATTTTCATAAACCACACACCAAGAAATGTAGAAATCTACAACAAAAGTGTGCGGCCTCAAGGCTAGAAGTAGCAAACATGGATATAAATATGTTCACTTACAATGTATCTACATGACAATTCATATTGGCTAAATCTTGATGTAAACATTGATGCTTTGCAAGGTAAACACAGAAGGCAGCTTTCAAGAAAATGCTGAATGTTCTTGTTAATCCAATGATTATAAGTAATCTGTTTGTACGTAAAATCATTGTGTTGCATTCAGATTAGGGAGGTTTTCAAAAAAACACAAATAACTTAATAATAATATAATAGTAATTCTTTTAAAAAATTAAAAAATGTCTTTGTACAGTATGTTTTAAGCTTGTTTACATTTTGAATGAAAGCATACATGCGCCATTTAATAAAGCGTTTTAATTCCCATATTTTCCATTATTTATTATGTGTTCATTCAAATGAACAAATTACTCACATATATGTTTGTAATTTATTTGATTGTAATAAAGATCATGTGTGGCAATTCTTTGTTTCACTCTGCTGTGACAATGTATTCCATTACATTTACTAATTACCTAATCATCAGTACATGTAAGTATCTAATATTCATATAACGTAAACTAATTACTTTACATTACTTTTGGGACAAATCAATATCAAAGCAATGCAAATAAATACAACAAGGCTTTAACCTAGGTGTAAAATATAAAACAACAGAACAATGTAACCTTAGAAAAAAAGAAACGCAAATATGTTTGTTTAGTTTCAACAATGGGTCCTCTGCACTTTTTATAACAAACAGAATATGCTTTTTTTAAGTTCACGGCAGTATATTATTTAAGAGCTTTCACAGCATTTTTAATAAATCCCCTGTCCACCCACTGAGCTGGCAAAGAGGAAAGAAACTAATTGAATATTCTGGCAAAATAAAGTCTAATGATTTCAAATAAAAGGCTAGACAAATATAGTTTACAAATACTTTTTAATTTAATACATGAAATACTCTCACATAACATTATATGACATACTCACATTCCACATTACATCACATTTATTTATCTGACACTTTTATTGAAAAGTGCCTTGAAGAAACTAACTAAGAAAAGAAAGAAGAACATTCACTTAGCAAAATCAATGTTGGTGTTGAAATCCTAAATAAAAAATAAAAATTCTAACCTCGGCTACCTATACCAAGTAGTGGACCACAGAAAACCATCATTTACAAATCATTAACCTGCAAATTCTTCTTTAAATAAATGTTGACTCCTTGGGAAATGATTATATATTAACAGCTGGAAGGCAAAGATTTCAATGGCGGTAATATTGTTCCACTTTTCTCCTTTCAACACAAAATGATGGAGAATTTTCCATTAAATTAGTGAATTATTTAACTAAAGGCAACAATGATGGACAGGAAGATTAGCTTTGGCTTCACTCGAGACTCGGTGTTGTGAGACTCTTGAACTGATGTATTGTGTGAGAATGAGCCTCGTAATATATACTTCTTTACTTGAAAATGTATTGTAACATTGTAATCCTTCTTATAATCCCCCCTTTTTTTTGTTATGTAGCAGAAACAACATATTTCTTCAACTCTAAGGGTAAAAACTGTAAAATCCTTTGCATACAATAACATTAATTCCATTACATGTAATCTGTTGCTCTCAAAGCCTGTCGTTAAACTGTGTGCAAAATGTAGAAAACCGTTCAATCCAATGATCTTCTTCTTGCCGGCAGTGGCTCAGTCAGTAGGGGCTTGGACTGGGAGCCGTAGGGTCACTGGTTCAAGTCCCCGAACAGCCCTAACATATGGAGTGTGGACTGCTACTTGGAGAGGTCCCAGTTCACCTCTTGGGCCCCGCCGTGGTGCCCTTGAGCAAGAAATCAGACACCCCCAACCCCCCAGAGGTCATATTTCACTGTGTGTGCTGTGATGTGTGCATTTGCAAGGGTTTCATCCTCTAATTAGCTTGATGCTAACTAGGATCAGTGGTTCCTGTTGCTCTTCAAGTTAGCTATAGTCTTTGAAACGTTCGTAAAAATGTGCAAAACATCATTGCTTTCCAATATTTCTAAATAAACTAATATAATCAGGTGCATACAACAGACAGAAATCAAAGATGTACAAAAAATGACAAAACATTAAGATATAAAAAAATTAAATACATGTTTGTCACAGTATTGTCTGAGAGGAGTCAATAAATAATATCATTTGAGACAAGATGGCAGCCATAGCCATAGAGATACAGAATGCATAAACTGCAAGAAAAGGAGTCATTTCAACCGATCATTAACCAATCACAGCTGTGCATTGAAGGTGGAGTTAGAGCACTTCTGGGTGTAGACACAGGACGTGGTTTAGGATGTTCACACCAAAAGAGGGTGATGTGAAAATAAAGTCCATGGCTCAGTTGCCATAAATCTTAATCCCAAAGAGTGCAGTATGTGGAATACGACTCCTGATCATTTTTCAAGGACCTGGGGCCTCATTTATAAAGGGATATACGCTCAAAAAATGGCGTACGCCAGTTTCTACGCAATGTTTGCGATTTATAAAATACTAACTTGACGGGAAAATGTGCTGTCCTCCACGCAAACTCTAACCCATGCGTACGCACTAAGCACACAAACGGGAGAGACGAGAAACTGCGACACCGTTGGCAGAAGGAAGAATGGAGAGAAATATGTGGAAATAATACCATAAATAAAATGTTACCTCTCATTTATCAAATATGAAGAATTCCTTTTCAAACATTGATTAAAGCCAATCTTTAAATGATTAAACAAACGCCTGTTTGAAACTCCTCAGTGCACACAAAAACATAACTTGGAGAAATAAATAAATACGGATATGCTATTTAAAACCACCTCGAATATGTTGTGTTAATGTTATGAAATGTTTTCTCATAAATGATGCGGTAAGCAGGAGGACAGAATTACGTCTAAACTGACGCCGTTTTGCATTTCTATAGGTTGTAGATACGAGCATGGTTTTATATACTATCACGTTTAATCGTGTTTTATGCCGTTTGCCAAGACTTGATAAGTCGCTCGTAAAACACAGGAGGTATGGAAACTAAGAACACCATATGTGGTAAATTGTACAGCTAATATAACACAACACATTAGTTGTATTTCCTTTAACTGGTGGATTATGGATATATAGTTGCTGATCGACAGCTGGAACACAAACCACCAAATACAACAAAAATAATTCAGATCCAGTCGTCATGACTCCACTCCGGAGGGATTCCCCGATCATTTCTTACAGTTTCTCATCAAGGGGCTCCTGTCCCCGGGACAAACACACTGCCTGAGGAAGGTTATGTGTATTTTTTTTGTCATTAACTTTTTTCGGACCACTTATTTATTTATTTTGGTGACGATCCGACCTCCATGCTGCTACTCTGGTTCAAACTGCATCCACCAAACAATATGATTTATCTCGACCTCCCCACAATAACCTAAATCTGACACGGTGTGAGATGTCTTTTGTAGCTGTTCTATCGTTATTTCCTGCGATCTTCTTCATGCAGTCAGTCAAAATGAATGAATGAATGGGCGTTTCTTTGACTATGTATAGGCAAATATGGGCGTTACGAGTCGATTGTGATTTATCAAGGGAAACAGGCGTAGGGAGTGCCGTACGCACTTCCCTCGCCGGTACGCAATGTTTTGTGAATCGGAAAATGGCGGAACATTTATGTACCTATTTTTGTGCTTTGTACTACGTAAGCAACCTTCCTACGTCAATCCTACG